CGATAACCTAGCGAGGAACCCTACGAGAAGCATAGGCCCAGTAGTGGCGTCTGGAGTGTTCAAGAACCTCTGGCTGCAGTACATCAGGGCACCTGTTATTGGAGCACTAGTAGCAGCAATGGTCTACAGTGGGCTTCTAGTACCCTTGCCCGCGCAGCCGGCGGAGGAAAAAAAGCAAGGATCCAATGAACAACCCAGCCCATTCGATCGATGTGAACGTTACGTACATACAACAAGGGAAGCAAGGCAGCTGAACCATGCACTTCTGTTCTGACATAGCGTTTTCGACACTCTCAAAAGAACCGTTTGTCTCGATCGACGACTCGACGACTGCATGGCCATGAAAAGAGCCGCTACGCTAGAAAGCGAAGGGAATTTACTCCAGGCTGTTGAGTTTGAAGGAGTAGCGTTCGTGAAATCTCAACCATGTATCTGTTTAGAGCAAAAACGAATGTGATTAATTGTTACTTGATGAGTTTAATGGTCAGTGAGTAGATCGTTTTAAGTTAATTAGTGGAGTCGTTATGTTAGTATGGTTGTTGTACGTGTAAGGGTCAATGAGTGGTGTTTGAGCCTAGTTAGTACTAGGCGGTTTGATGAGACACGAGCCGTCTTTACTTTCTAACCGGTATATGCCTTGTTCTTTCTCTAGGATGACCGTCTAATGCGCTCCTCTACCTACGGCCGCATACCTATTGGGCGTTCCCGCTGGGTCGGACCTTCATGTTCTTCCTGGGCCTAAAGCCTAATACCGCTCAACAATGGTGCCCAACAATAGCCCTTTAGGCGGGAAAAGATTTGTGTCAGCTACAATCTTTCCATCGATCATGTTGAGCAGTCTTTGCTTTCTAACCGATTTCCTACCCACTTCCCCTGGCCGGACGAAAAATAGAAATTTTTCGCCAGAAGGCTGTCCATATTCAATACTCCTGCTAAGAACTGTGTTCCCCTCCGAGACTAACATTATGTGGTCTTCGGGATGAGATTTACGTCAGCCCCTGCATGCTTGTCCACGTGGCAAGACTCGGATATCGAGGCTGACAACAGTCAGCCTAGACGTCGCTTCATCTGCCTGATTTTTTGAAATTTTAGACTAGGGTTTTTTTGGTCACCCAACCGTCACATCATTGTTGCCCCCTTTTTGGCTTTCCTATTTAAACCTACTATTTACCCTTCTTCCTCACTCTTCTTTCTTACCATATTTTTCTTCTGAGTTTCTGCCGAAACTTTGCCAAAATTGCTTGCTGTTCCGAGTTCTCCCTTTCTTTTTATCTACGAAGCTATCCATCCCTTTCGGCGAAGCGAAAAAATAATCTCGTTAGTCTTAAACGATCTCAGAAACAAGCGAAGAAGAAGCAATGAAGTTCAAAAATGGCGATTGAATCTCAGAGCACCAATCCTACTGATCAGAACAAGAACATCTTCGGCGATGTTCCCGCTACCACTACTTCCTAAGAGGTTCGAACCTCCAGTGCAGGCGCCAGCCTTCCTCGCTCTTCCCTTAAGACCGGCGGTGGGTCTAGCGGTCCATCTTCTTGAACTAAGCATATCACTCAAGTTATGCTCGATCTTTCTTTTCCTTTTAACGTGTCTGACCCGGAATGGGATTTGGAGAACATATATTTAGTGTGCGGTCTTGAGAATTCTACCAGTTGTAGGAAGAACTTAGATGGTCTTGACTATGACCTTTTAGGGGTAGACGAGAACTCTTTAGCCGACACTAAGGTTTCCATAGGTATGCAGGGAGGATCCTCTACGGTTGGTGACAACCTTGGCAACTTTAGCGTCTCTGAGTCAGAAAGCGAGTCGCCTCACGATATGCATGCGGTTGCTCTCTTTTGTGACAGTGGGAAGGGGCCGCAAGACAACCTTTAGGATGTCGAATATGTGGTCGATTCCCCCTTCTTAACGGTATCTAATGCACTTCTTGTAGAGGCCTTCCAAGTGATTGTTGATACCACATATCGAGTGTGGTTGCACGAAGATATGTGAGAAGGTGAGGAGGTGCCTACTTCTGCTTATGAGCAAGGGCCTCCTACTGAAGCAGCCTAAAAACCCTCTCAAGGTCTCCGCCAGTTGAATAACCCTGGACTCCCGGGACTACGCCACTCCTTCTCCCGTTGAATGGTTTGGTTCTTGCCCTGATGGGTGGATTCCCATCCACGTGGAGCACGTCCGAATAGGTTTAGAGTTCTCACTCGATCCTATCCTAACTTTGACTCTCCTTCTCTTAACTTCACTTTGGGCCGCTTATCTCCAGGCACCATTTTTCACTCTATTGCTTTCCGAGTTATATGTGAGAGGCTTGGGGAAGCACCCTCTTTCGATGCATTTTTCCTTTTATACACCATGCGCGGCTCCGATAACTGTTGGTCGTGCTACAGGCAAGAGACCCGTGTGGGTTTTATGCACGGGTCGCCCAAGTTAGATTCTCCTTGGTTTAAAGAGTATTTCCTTCTTGCTCGTCCAAAAGGGAAATGATATTATGGAGAGGTACAACCGCCTACGGTATTCACCATTGGTGACAAAGAAAATTGGAATGACAATCTTGAATCCCTCGAGTCCTTCAAACTGCTTCCCAAGCGAAGAATGGCGACGGCTCCATTTTGTCTTCCCCCTAAAGGACACGACAATGCATTGGAGATAATTCGGCATTTTCACGGTTAGCTAGTCCTTACCTTTCCTGTTGAGCGTGTTTCTCATACTCTTTACTTATGAACTTATTTTGAAGTGGTCTGGCGTTATGCATCCACCGCAAGACCGCCCAAACCTGGCAGCGAAGTGTCTAACAATGTGTCTCCTTATCCTAGCCTCAGTTGGATGTTCAAGCCTTCGCTCCTCCATCAACGACCCCGACACAGCTTGTTACCGGCCGCTTAGGAGTGTTGAAGTTGTCTAAACCTACTTCGAGCAAGGGCTCCTCTAAGCAGTCTCTGGAAGTCCTTGCTTCAAAATATAAGCGATCAATCGAAGGACATGCAAGAATGAAGGGCGTTCATATTGAGACTCCTCCGGTTACGCCTCTCGATCCCTACATCCCACTGAAGAGGCAAAAAAGGATGGAACTCACATCGACTGTTACTTTCTCCTCTCAAGCGTCCTTGTACCCGACGACGGCCAAGCATGCTCTGCACATGATATCAGAGGAACTTGCGGTTCCTGGAGAGTACACTCAAGTTGTTGGTTACCCCGTCCTTACCTCCGATACCAGGCATCTAGTGTGTGCGACCGCACGATTCTTCTATGCTATGAGTATGGATCTAGATCTTTAAGTATTTTTCACCCACTTTCCTTCCTAACCTTGTGTGTCCTTGCAGACTCAGTTTGGGCTAAACCAGATGATGCTTCACAATGACCGCCTCTAGAGTGACCTGGACGACCGCAATACGTGGATCCTTCAACTTGAGGATCAGCTGAAGGAGGGTCGTTAGGGGTTTAAGAAGGAACTGAGTGAGGAGATCCTTAAAGAATCAGGAGGCCGCTTTCATGGAGAAAGATGTTGAACTCACCACCGCCAAGGAGTCATTGAAAACGGCAGAAGAGAATGTTGAGTGGTTGCAGAAGGAGGCTTAGGAGTCTTTGTGAGAGAAGGAACTGAATGAAGAGGTGGCTAAGGTGAGAGGAGAGATGGTGGAGTTTGAAGATACCCGTGAGGCTGAGCTTTACTACATAGCGGAGGCTAGAAAGGCGTTCTTCTGGGTCTCCGACGAGTTCAAGGATGTTGACAAGGTGAAGTACAACAAGCTGTTGAGGGATACGGTGGCGTCTATTTGTCATTGGTTTCATCGTGAGCTCCCTGAGGTGGTTTGGGATTCCCATGCAATATGGGATGCCGTCGAGTTTTGGGACGATGACGACGTGAATTCCTAACATGTTGAGACTCAAGTGGGAGCCGCTCAAGGAGCTAATGCTCAGGATGGAACCGCTGACGGAGAAGAAGTGAACCAGCAGCCTTCAGTCGATGCCTTAGTATCTAAGCTTTTGATTTATCCTTCTTTAAAAAAAAACTATTTCTCTAATTTTCCTTTGCTTCTATTCTGGGGGCATCCAAGACATCCTGTCATCAGGAAGTGGATATTCATGCGTTCTTTATAGCGTACTTAGTTAATTTCGACTGTATTTATATTGTGCGGTTATTAATAGCGTGCTCCATTGTGGGAGATCTCTCCACCAGTTACTATTGTTGAGTGTTCATCACTGTGAAGAGCAGTTTAAGTTATGAATCATCAAGCTTTCCGTTGGTTTGTGGGTCAAGTTGTGAAGGTGACTTCCAAACGTTGTTAAGAGCCATTAAAATTGGCTAAGTTTCGCCCCGAGATAGTTTTAAATTGTAATGATAAATTTTAAACTATCACTCTGTGGCGGTTCAAATCGTGAAGACAATTTTTAAGTTATTGCTCTGGGGCGGTTCTACTTGGGAAGACAATTTTAAGTTCTCTCTCTAGGGCGGGTCAAATTGTGAAGACAATTTTTAAGCTTTCGCTCTTGGGCAGTTTAAATTGCGAAGACGATTTTTAAGCTTTCGCTTTGGGGCGGTTCAAATTGTGAAGAAAATTTTAAAGTTATCGCGGGGCGGTTCAAATTATGAAGACAATTTTTAAGTTATCGCTCTAGAGCTGTTAAAATTGTGAAGACAATTTTTTAAGCTATCGCTCCGGGGAGTTTCAAATTGCAAAGACAATTTTTAAGCTTTCGCTTTGAGGCTGTTCGGGCCGTTAAAAATTTCATCCAAGGTATCGCTCATCAGAGGTGCTTTAATTATCTTGGAAATGGCTTGTAGCAAAATACATTGCAGGCTGCGATCATAAAGACTGTTCAAAATGCATGGCGGCCCTACAACTTATCTCTTTTCCTACTCCCCAAAGTACTTCTTCAAGTGGATGGCATTTCAGGTCTTTGCTACCAGCTTCCCTTCCATTGTGGCGAACACATATGTTGAGGGGCCCAGTTCGGTCTTTCTTTCTGGTCCTGTTGTGGCCTCTTTTTCTTGTGGTCTCTCTCTGTTTTGCTCTTATCTATTCTTCTGCCCTTGTTGATGTACAGTTGGGAACTCCTCGCTTGGTGGTTTGTGGTTTCTCTCTGTTTGTCTGTTCTTTGATTCTTGTGGTCTCATTTGTGGTTGAAGGATTTGGTTGTGTCCTCCTTTTGTTTTAATTGTAGGTTTCTGTCAGTTTTTTTTGTCTCTTTCTTCAGGAGTGGTTCGGCCCACTTAGTTGCATGCTTTCTTGTTGTGTGTTGGGTTGGGGTTATGTTCAGCCCTTTTGAACCATTGTTCGTCTGTAATTTGTTCGTTTTCTCAGTTATGCATTTTCTATCACCCTTATATAAAAAAAAAACTTCTCACCTACGAGGAATGGTCTTCCCATATGGTGGCTATTTTACCATGCCCTTCCTTATGCTCAAAGTTTCTTTTCGGAATCATGTAACCTTCCTCCAGCGGTCTAGGCTTCACCATGCTGTTGTACGCTATTACCACCTTCGACTTTTCCTTGATGGTTCGGACTAGTGTTGTGTCTCGTCGTGTCTCTATCATGTCCATCTGGTGGAGAAGCTTTCTGTGGTTTTCCTCTGGGTCGTAAGTTTGGACCCTGAGGGATGGGAGGGCCATCTCCACTGGTGCGACCGCTTCAGAGCCATATGTTAGAGCAAACAGAGTTTCTCCCATTTCCCTTTTGTAATTTTTGTGATGTGCCCAAAGTACATATGGCAGCTCTGCGGTCCACCCTCCTTGGGATTCCATCAACATTCTATTCAGTCCTCGCAAGATCAGCTTGTTTACGACTCGACTTGCACATTGGCCTGGGGGAACGCAATCGAAGCCATGCTGCAGGTGATGTGATTCCTAGCACAGAAGTTCTCAAACGGTTTGCAATTAAATTGATTGCCATGATCATTGATGGTAGTATGGGGTGTCCCAAACCTGATCATTATATTGCTGAACAAGAAATTTTGAATATTGGTACTTGCGATCGTGTCAAGCGGTTCAACCTCTACCCACTTTGTGAAGTAATCCACAGTGGGCGTGTGTTGCTTACTGGCATGTATTTGGCATTCATGGCATCCCCGAACCGCCTCCATCGTATCTTTTTTTAAGGTCGGCCATGATCAGTGTTGGTAGTATGGGGTGTCCCAAACCTGATCATTATGTTGTTGAACAAGAACTTTTGAATATTGGCACTTGCGATCGTGTCGAGCGGTTCAGCCTCTATCCACTTCGTGTAGTAATCCACAGCGACCACCGGTTATTTCTTCCCTAAAGGATTAGTTGGGAATGGTCCCAAAAGATCTAGCCCCCATTTGGAAATTTAATTCCTCGGTGGGCGTGTGTTGCTTGCTCGCATGTACTTGGCATTCATGGCATCCCCAAACTGCCTCCATCGTATCTTTCTTTACTGTCGGCCAATAGTAACCTTTCAATGGTACCATTCTTTCGAGGCTTCTTAGCCCTAAATGTGAAGCGCATATTCCTCGGTGGATATATTTGATCGTCCATTTAGCCTCGATCGCTCGAGGCACTTCAAATACGTTCCCAATAAAGACCTCTTGCATAGTTGTCCTTCTACCATGGTATAATGAGTTTCCTTTCTCCTTAGATCTTTGTCTTGGATCACATCCTCTGGGGCGGTGTCCTTTTGAAAGTAATCTACCAGCGGCGACCGCGAATCTTTGTCTTCCCCTTCTATTACCATTACGTCATAGTTGGAAACCGCTTCTTTTGTCACTTTTATCTGATGATCTCCTTCGAAGTCCATTACGGTTGCTAATTTTGATATGACATCCTAGTGGTGATTGTCCTCTCTTCCGATAAGCTCCAGCTTCCACGTCTCTAGTTGAGACAAAATGCCTCTGACCTTCCCTGACAACTTAGCGAGGGCTTCTTTCTTCACTTCAAGTTTGTAGAGATTCTAAGACCGCTGAGGAGTGCTTCATATTCCGCTACGTTGTTGGTTTTTAGCTCGTGAAATCTGTGAGAGATTTCATGTACAACTCCTTTAGGTGTCTCAATGACAAATCCTGCTCCTGCTCCTCCTTTTCCAGCGACTCCATCAATGAAGAGGCGTCACCTTCCTCTTTTTTCCTCTGGGTCTGCGGCCTCCAAGCAAAAGCCTTTTGCAACAAAGTCTGTCAGCACTTGCCCCTTGATTGAGGGACGCGGTGCATATGCGATATCGTGTTCCCTCAGCTCGACCGCCCCATTTCGTCATTCTTCCAGATATGTCCATTTCCCTGAGGATCTTCTTCAGTGGTAGGATTGAGAGCACCATGACCTGGTGCTTCTGGAAATAGGGACGTAACTTTCTTGCGGCTATGAAAACGACTAGAATCGCCTTCTCGGTCGGTATGTAACTTTTCTCTACTGGGAGACGTGCCTTGTTAACATGGTAGACGGGATTTTTTGAACCATCTTATGCTCTTCGTACTAAGGTGGAGCTGACCGCTTGTTCAGAGACTGCCAAGTAGAGATATAACGACTCTCCGTGACGTGGAGCGCTCAATATTGGTGATGTGGCCAGTTGCTCTGTCAGTTGAAAGAAAGCTTTGTCACACTCAGCACTCCATTGAAGTCGCGATACCGAATATTTTAGCATCTAAAAAATGGGGAGCACTTGTCTGCTTCCGTTGGAATAAAACGTCTTAGAGCGACCATTTTATCGTTGAACGCCTGAATCTCTTTGACTGTCTTTTATGGCTTCAATCTGAGAATAGATTCTATTTGATTCGAATTTTTCTCAATGCCTTTGCCGGTGATCATGAATCCCAAAAATTTCTCTGCTTTTGCGCCAAACACACACGTGAGAGGGTTTAATCGAAGGCTCTCTCTTCTTAAGTTGTCGAATGTTTCTCTCAGGTCCTTCAGATGATCACCCTCCTTCTTGCTTTTGACAAGTACTTCGTCAACATATGCTTCCACGTTTCTTCCCAATTGGTTTTTGAAAACCCCATCTATCCTTCGCTGATACGATGCTCCAGCTTTTTTCAATCCGAATGGCATGACTGTGTAGCAAAAAGTTCTCATGTGCGTCATAGAGGTGGTCTTCTCTTGATCTTCTCCAGAGAATCGTATTTGGTGGTATCCGGAGAACATGTCAAGGAAACTCAAGGTTTCATGGTTGGCAGTCGCATCGATGAGCTGGTCTATCCGTGGTAAGGGGTATGCGTCTTTGGGGCAAGCCGCATTAAGGTTTGTGAAATTGATGCATATCCACCATAACCCCGACACTTTGCGAATAAAGACTGGATTTGCTAGCCAGGTTGGATATTTAACGTCTTTGATGAAGTCGGCTTTCAACAACCTCTTTACTTCCTCTTATAGTGCCATTTGCTTTTCTAAGGACGCATTCCTTATTCTCTACTGCACAGGCTTTGCCTTGCTTTTCACCAACAAGTAGTGGCGGACCCATGAATTTTACATAATGGTGTTCTCTTTTAAAAAATAAGTTAAATACAAATAATTCTTAAATAATAAATAAAAATTAAATAATTCTTATATAAGAAAATACTTGAATTTTACAAGTTAGAAAAAAGTCCAAGATGTGTTTTCATATTCGAAAATAACTGTAAAATACACTTGGAGTCCACACTGCTCAAATTTTTTTGTCTTTGTATATCCTACTATAATCATTCAAGAACTGATCACATATTCGATTTTTACACTTGTTCTTGATGTAACCCAAAACTGAAAAGACTCTTTTAACACTTGTTGTACAACAGTGTTTAAAATAATCTTTTCAATTGTTGGGTTTGGAAAATAATTAGAGATAGAATGACATGTTACTATTACACAGTGCTTAAAATCGAACAACAAATGAGTTGTAGTCTAAAGAAAATTATTTTTATCAATAATAATAGTGTTCTAGGTTTGAATTACTCAAACTATAATTTATATTCCCATAAGCAAACTAAAAAAATAGAGTAGGATAATCATTTTTATTTTATTTTAGGGGTGTCACTGACTATCAATTATAATTTTTTTGTCCATACGAATAGGTCCTTATATTCTTTGAGAAGTAACAAGAGTTCTCACATTTCTCTTCTGGGAGGTGAGATGAGATCCTGAAATTCTTCTTCATCTCTTTCTTAGTTAGGTATAGACCCACCAAAATACCTTATTTTGAAGTTGGTATTGACTTTATCTATCGCAACTGCAAGTTGTAAAATAGCATTTTCAGCTATGAAGATAAACAAGAACGATTTTTTAGATCGGTTGAGTGACCAATTTATGAATGATTGTTTAGTTATGTATATTCGAAAAAGATTGACTTTGCAGCATAAGTGATGAATGTATTTTAGAGACATTTCAGTAGATGAAAAGTCGTTGTGATTCGTTATAAACATGACATTGTGAGCTTTATATGATTAATTTCTATTTAATTATTAATTATTTTTAATTTAATTTTTTTAATTATTATCGTGTTTTATCGGCGACACACCTCTCCGACAATCCTGGGTCCGCCACTGATGAACGTTACACCTCTAAGTTAACAGAAGAACATTTTGTTACTACACATCTCATTTCCTATAATTTCATTGTCATAAGATTTATTCATAACACCATAAGTTACCCACTCCGCCACTCGTATCAAAATCCTTGTTCAGACTCTCCTTTTTTATCACTTAGTCTTACTCTCCCAGTAATAACACAACTCAGTTGCGTGGCTCTCCCTAATTATTTTTCTCCGACCATAGGCCGCTAATGATTGTTTAACACGATATTCGATATACATTGAAACAGACTAACTAAAGAACATAGACAATCATATTTCAGAATATAAAAAGATATTGTGTGGTTTCTGATGAAAAGAATAATTGTAATATTAGTCAATTTGTCACTCCACTGGTGGCGCCAGTTATTGGTGTACAGCGGAGTTGGAGTAGCCGTGACGACCGACGCAGGCGGAGAAAAACGAGCAAGCTTGGATCCAATATAATTAACAGCGCGTGGCCATTTGATCGATATGAAGGTTCGTACAATGATAGAGAAACAGGCAGCTGAAGGAACCGCTTTGTTCCAAAATAATTTTTCCGACGCAGCCACACGAGGGTCCCGCGACGCTGCATGGACATGAAAAGCAAAGCTAAGGGATGAGCTAGCGTATAGTAGCAGAGCAGGGGCGGGGGCCGCGGCTCAAAGGGCAGAGAATCGATAAATATTGCCATCTAGTAGGCATCAGTGATGCTCGTCTTCCATTGCATGTAGGGGTGTACATGGGTCGGTTGGTTCGGGTTTAACCATATTAATCACCCGACCCATGCACTACGGTTTGGGAATTATCAAACCCAAACCCACCCAAAAATATTTAAACCCTACGGTTTGTTTCTAATTGGATTGGGTCGGGTTGGCGATATTTTTAAGTAAACACCCAACCCAACATAAAATATATAATTATTATACATCATAAAAATATTTTATAACTAATTAAAATTTCAAACTAATAAACCAAGGTGAAAGGTATCAAAATTCACAAATGTTATTTGAATTTTAATAAAATGTGATTTACTTCAACATATGTCTAGTTTTGTTCATGATATTTGTTGAAATAGACAAAAAAGGTTATAAACAAACGCATCCATAATATATTATTCTATTAAAATTGTACACAAGAAAAAGGATTATGTGAATCATAACTATATTCAATTTATGTCTAAACTTTAAGTCGAAGAATGCATTAGATTAGGGAGACCATGATAGGAAAACATGACGAAATATCTTAATTTTCTCATAAGTATGGCTATATACGACATAAATATTTTTAGATACGAACTCATACTAATAGTTGAAACACGGGTTGGGTCGGATTCTACGGGTTGTGTAATCCAAAATCCAAACCCAACCCAAAAGAGGCGGGTTGTACAAAAGAAAACCCTCACCCAACCCAAAACTTTCGTTTTAGCGATAAATACGGGTGG